CCCAGGAGTTGGAGGTTGCTGTGAGCTGTGATGCCATGGCACTCTACCTAGGGGGATAGTTTGAGGCTCCGTCTCAAAAAAAAAAAAAAAAAAAATCACACATGAATAAAAGAAGATATAAAAGAAAATATAATCTTATAAATGTTAAAAACAGAAACCCATTGTTTAAAACTTCCCACAAAAAAAACTCCATTAATTTGTGATAAATTCTTCTAGATAACTGAAAAGAAATCATTCCTTCCAAATTCTATAAACTTTTTAAGGAATAGAGAAAAAAGCAATTCCCATCTCATATTATGGAAGCTGACCATAACAGAGAACAGAAATAGATCATTACTCATAGTGTCACTTAATTTACCAAGACAATTCTGTGAGGAAAAGACCATCCTTTCAATAAAGGGCAATGAAAGTCATATGAGAAAAAAAAAAATGTTGATCCCTATGCTCACACACACAAACATTAGTACAAGCTTACAAAGGATAGAAACAATAAAATTACTAAAACAATGGAGACTATCTTCATAAATTTGAGTAGGCAAAAATAAAACACAAAATGAATCAGCCACAAAAGAAAAGGCTGATAACTTAAATATCATTAAAATTAAAAATTCCTATTCATCAAAAGACAGCATTAAGAGAGTGAAAAAAAGCAAGACACAAACTAGGAGGAGATATCCATAACACACCTGATGAAGGATTTGCATCTAAACACATCTTTAAATATATCTAAAATATGTCAAGTACTCCAGCAAACTAACAAAATAAATAATCAAATAAAAATACACAAAAGATGTGACCATGAACTTCACATTGAGGATATCTAAATGGCCAATAAGCATATGAAAAGGTTCTCTATGATAAGTAACCAGGGAAATCCAAATTGAAAGAATAAAATCAGCATACACATATCAAAATGGCTGAATTTTTTAAATTATTTTTAAATAATTTAAATAATTTAAAATTTAAATAATTTTAAAATAATTATTTTTAAAAAATAATAATACCAAAAATTGACAAGGATACAGAGTACTTGAAATGTGCACATGTTACTGGTAGAAGTATACACTACAATAAATACTTTTGAAAACTGGAAGTATCTACTAAAACAAAGCATATATGTATCTTAACTTATCATTCCAATTCCTATATCCAGGAGAAATAAGTATATATATCTACCAAAAGACATGTATAAGAATATTATTGAAGCTTTATTCATAACAGTCAAACACTAGAAACGATTCATATGTCCACCACAAAGAAAGTAGGTAAGTTATGATATAACCACACACTGAAGTGCTATTAGAGAAAAAATTACTGTGACATAAAACAAAGATCCATCTCACAGGCTTAATGTTATGCAAAAGAAACCAGACACAGAGGTGTCTGGTAACATTCACGCAAATTTCAGGAATAGGCAAATTAATACACAGTGCCCAAAGGCAGAATAGGGGAAGGTAACATAAAAAGCATGGACTAGAAAAAGTGTAAAAGACATTTCTAGTGTTATGAAAATGTTCTACATCTTGACGTGGACATGTTTAATGTCTTAATCTAGGCAATGATTTATATGGCTGCATGCATCAAAAAATTTAGAAAGCTATACACTTAAAATCTATACATTTCACATATATATATATATTGCTTTAATAAATGAATTATAAATCATTAGCTATATCATTTATGTTCTAATGTGGAAAAATCTCTAAGACATTCTATTTAAAGAAAAAAGTTTCTTAATAATAAACATATTTAATTTTTAAAAAACAACCATATACACACGATAAAACTATATATTACATAAAAATATAAAGCAATGGATTTTCACTAGTTAAACCTCAGGGGGAGAAAAGGACAAGAAGGAAAGATTCAGACTGAAGATAAAAATTATGTTTTATTTATTTCATATGAAATTTTTTATAATTAAAATGTACTTATTAATTAATGTAAATAAAGTATAAAATTAATATAGTATTCTAAGTCAAATTGTAAATGTCTTCATCTGAAAGCATGAAGGAAAATGATCAAATTTTAACCAAAACCTTGAAGATAGGTTGCTTTGTTGTTTTTAAAGCAATTAAAATTTCTTTTTTTAAATTTAGTACAAGAAAAACATTTATTTTCAACACTAAGCAAGAATGATTAAACAAACTGGACTAAGTCATTAGAAGGCATGAAATGGTAATACATGTAGTTTTTCAAAGAAAAAAGATAACGTGTCATAATGCCTACATACCACTCAGTGCTCCAACAGCTCCAAAATTTAAAGATTTTCCATCCATTATGCTAGCATCACACTCGATTTCACCTAAGAGATTTAGATTAGATCCCATTCCTGCATTCGTAAAAGGAGAATCCTAAAGGACAAAAACAAAAATTAAAATATCATTAGTCTTAAAGAATTAATACCAATCCTTCATAAATTCTTGAAAAAACTAGGTCAGAAAACACTGACCAAGTCACTGTATGATGCCAGTACTATCCCAATATCAAAACACAACAAAGATACCAAAAGAAAAGCAAACTACAGAGAATTATTACACATCACAAACAAGAGGAAAGTAAGGTTGGTTTAATATCTAAAAATCAAAGTAATATTCTATATTAATGAAGAATTAAAAACAATATCATATCAATAAACACAGAAAACAGCATTTAACAAAATCTAATTTTGGGCAGCACCTGTGGCTCCATGCGTAGGGCACCAGCTCCCTATACCAAGGGTGGCAAGTTCAAATGCAGCCCTGGCCAAACTGCAACAAAAAATAGCCAGGCATTGTGGCTACTCAGGAGGCTGAGGCAAGAGAATTGCCTATGCCCAAGAGCTGGAGGTTGCTGTGAACTGTGACACCATGTCACTACCAAGGGTGACAAAGTGAGACTCTGTCTCTAAAAAAAAAACAAAAAACAAAAAACAAATAGCCTTTTATAATAAAAACACTCAATAAACTAGATATAGAAAAAGATGTACTGGCCAGGCATGGTGGCTCACACCTATAATCCTAGCACTATGGGAGGATCACTTGAGCCTAGGAGTTTGAGGTTACAGTAAGGTATGATACCACTGCACTCTACCTGGGGCAACAAAGTGAGACTCAAACTCAACAAAACAAAAATAAAAAGTCTTTAACATTAATGATAAAAGATATCTACAAAAAGTCCAGGGCTAACAATATAATGAAGATAAAAGACTGGATGCCTTCCCCTAAAATCATGAAGAAGACAGATATGTCCACTCTCACTACTTCTATTCAACAATATGCTGTACAACTAATCAGATAATTAAAGGGAAAAAAAAGAAAAAAAGAGCATCTTGATTAGAAAGGAAGAAGTAAAATTCTGTTTCACAATAATTTAATCTTATATAGAAAATCCTAACGACGCCACTAAAAAACTATCAGAACTAACAAATTCAGCAAGGTTGTAGGATATAAGATCAATATGCAAAAATCAATAAGATTTCTAGAGATTAGCAATGAGTAATCTGAATATAAAATTAAGAAAATTCCATTTACAATAACATTGTATTCATTTTGGCATCACATAATACTAAAACGAACAATACAGAGAAGATTAGCATGGTCCCTGCCCAAGAATGACATGCATCTTTGGGAAGTATTCCATATTTTTAAACTCAAGCAAGTCAGAAAGAAAAAAACAAACAACCCCATTAAAAAGTGGGCAAAAGTCATGAACAGAAGCATTCCAGGCTCGGCACCTGTGGCTCAAGTGGCTAAGGCACCAGCCACATACATCTAAGGTGGCGGGTTCGAATCCAGGCCGGGCCGCCAAACAACATTGATGGCTGCAACCAAAAAATAGCCAGGTGTTGTGGCAGGTGCCTGTGGTCCCAGCTACCTGGGAGGCTGAAGCAGGAGACTCACTTGAGCCCAGGAGTTGGAGGTTGCTGTGAGCTGTGATATCACAGCACTCTACCCAGGGGGACAGCTTGAGGCTCTGTCTCAAAAAAAAAGAAGAAGCATTCCAAAAGAAAGAAGGCCAATAAACATATGAAAAAAATGTTTGATGTCATAATCATCAGGGAAATGCAAATTAAAACCACATTGATTTATCACCTTACCCCTGTTAGAATGACTATTGAAAAGTCCACAAACAATAGATGCATGAATGCAGAGACAAAGGAACATGAAAGCAGAGAGAAAGGAACACTTATACACCATTGGTGGGATACAAGCTCTATGGAGTTGTATGGAGATTCTTCAGAAACTTAAAATTAGATTTATCTGGCTTGGCACCTGTAGCACAGAGGTTATGGCGCCAGCCACATACACTGAAGGTGGCGGGTTCAAACCCACCCCTGGGCATTCTGGTGGGCACCTGTAGTCCCAGCTACTTAGGAGTATGAGGCAAGATAATCACTTCAGCCAAAGAGTTTGCTATGAGCTGTGACACCACGGCACTCTACCCAGGGTGACATAGTGAAACTCTGTCTCAAAATAATAAAAAATAAAATTAGAGTTATCATTTGATCTAGCAGTCCCACTACTGGATATCTATACAAAGGAAAAGAAGTCTTTTAATCAAAAAGATACCTGCACTGGAATGGTTACTGCAGTACAATTCACAATTGTAAAGATGTGGAATCAACCTAAATGTCCATCAGTTCATGCTACTTAGGCATTAAAAAGGATGAATTAGTGCCTTCTGCAACAATTTGGATGGAACAAGAGAACATTATCCTAAGTAAACTACTTACAAACAGAAAAACACGGCAAGTATTTGCTAATAAACTGGAATTAACTACTGAGCACACGTATGCACAGAAGGAAGTAAAAGTAGAAATAAAGCAGGGGGAATGGGGGAGGAGGGATAGATGAAAATCTCCCTCATAGGTACAGTGAACACTATCTGAGGGACAGGCACACTTACAACCAAAGCATTACAAAAGCAATCTAAAACCAAAAACATTTGTACCTTGCTATTTTGAAATAAAAATAAGTGCCACCAAAAACAATAAAATGAGAATAACTTTAATAAGAGAAGTATAAGATTTGTACACTAAAAGCTTTAAAACATGTAGAAAAAATTTTAAATACCTAAATAAATGGAAGGTCATACTATATACTTAGATCAGAAGGCATAATAATGTTATAATGGCAATATTCCCCAAATTGATCTAATTCAAAGCAATCCATTATCAATTCCTTATGATTTTGTAGAAATTCACAAGCTAATCCTAAAATATATATAGAAATGAACAATCAAAGGATAACCAAAACAATCTTGAAAATAACTAAATTGAAGGACCTATGCATCTAGGTTTTATAACTTTCTAAAAAACTATAGCAATCAAAACAGCATGATATAGAAGCACGGCTAAGGACAAAAATACAGATTAGTGTAACAGAACTGAAAATCCAGAAAGAAGCCGTCTCATTTATTGTCAATTCAACAAGGATGCCAAAACAATTCAATAAAGAAGGTATAGTCTGTCCCTCTGGGCTTCAGCTTTCCCAGGTCCAGCCACTCACCCACCCAGGATTCCGTGACCTCGGTCCCTGAGTCTACTTCCCATCTGGTCCACGGGAGGCACAGCTCTCCCAGGTCCCAGACCTTCCCTGGTGGTTCTGTGGCTGCAAGTGGAGGTTGGTGCAGGGCACAAGTAGCAGAGGAAGGCTCCCACATGCACTGGGGCACGCTGGGGAGGGGGGGGAGATGGCCAACTGGACCTAGCTTTCCCATCCAGAAGGAGAGTTAAAGGACAGAAGTTTAGCAAGTAAGCTGATGGTTTGGAGCTGAGCTAAGAGAGAAGGTTGAAGAACACACATCAACCCTGCTAAGACAAGATGCAACCCCAAGGAAACAAATAGGTACAAAATTAATCATCAAGCGGACGGGAGCCCCCTCCCCCATGAGGATGGCTCATAGCATACTTTCTAAAAACAAGCAAGCAGAGTTCAGATATCCTCCTATTTTATCCCATGGGAGAGACCCTCTACAAACCAGAACTCTTTCCCCTACTAGTATGCCATAGCATTCTCCTACCAGGCATAAAATTATATAAAACTATATATATTGTCTGCCTGAGATTCTGAACTCCCAGCACTCCCCTCCACTCTCAACCCAAGGTCTGGAAGCCTGTCCCCCATGGAGTCCATATTCCTGGGCATTTTCTCAAGAGTTGTGGACAAGGCATGGGCTGTTGCAGGTCTGCGCTGCAGATTCTACAGCATGGGTATAAAAAGACAGTGGACTGAGGGAACCATAACAGAGAGGGAGAGGAGGTGCCCCGTGGCACACAGCAATGGCAGTGGGGGTAACAATAGGACCCATACCCCTGGGGATATACTGGAGAGACACTCCCCACCTCTCTGGGTAACCAGAGAAAGCTAGGCATCTTCTCTAGTGGCAGCCACTAGCAGAACAGATCTGGGACCGAAACGCAGGCCCCATTAGCAAAGGGTATGCCCTAAGGCGGTACCTGCCTGGGCAGAGCATGGCAGGAATGGAGAATAGACTACTCACACAGATTGCATACTCCTAGGGTGGAGCTAAGTCAGAAGGACTACTTTAGTGAGCCTAAGAAGCACCTGGCCCCCAGGAGATGATAGCTGAGACAAAAGGAGGCAGGGAGAGGCAGGAACTGACAACTGAGTGTGAGCTCTACAACACAACACAGAGTGCAGTGAAGACAGACACGCCAGTTCTGAGCAGCGGCACAGACCAGGGCTGAGTTGCAATTTCTGTGAACTCAAACAGCACCTAGCACATAGGCAGGACAGAAATATAAATTCTGCAGAAATGTAAGTGTCAGCAACAACAATCGGGCAGGGCTGATTGAGTTGAATTGAGTGAATAGCCCCAGCTTCCATTACGCACTCAAGGTTATCAGGCCTCAGCTCCCCCTGCCACATGATGGCAGAATGTGGCGGTCTAGCTGAAGAAACATAGATCCTCCTGTGACTCAGACAGATGCAAACTCCTGGAGCATCTACCCATTAGAGGGAACTGGGTCACAGCCCTGTGAGGTTACCAGTGACTGTGTGTGACAGAGGTATAAGGTGGGGAAGGAGACTTCAACCTCACCAGACTAATTCATTTGCTGGGAGGAGGGCTGCTTTTGACTCCATGGAACACCAGAACAAGTCATACATGAGCTTCCAGCAGACCCCCATGATGTAGTTGCAGGAGACCTTTTGAACTCTCCTACTTGAGACCAGGCACTGACTGGGACAAGTGATTTGGATCTCTTAAACTGGGGCAATCATCCGAGGACTATCCAAAGTGGTACGCTAGGTATATGGTTGTGGGAAAGTTTGATTTTCCTTTTCCAATTGTTGCCCATGGGGGGCAGGGTGCCTTAATTGCTGGTATTTCTCCACAGCTGAGACTTCAACCCAGAGTAACTGATTCACTAGGTTAGGACAGAGACCACCTGAAGACAAGACAGAGCCACTTAGCCCCACTACACCAAGCAGGTACCCAGTGTCTCAGGCTGTAGCACTGTACGAGTCCTTTGCAAAGCTGAACAGGAAAAAGTACAGACACCACTCCTAGCTCATGGGAAAAGGGCTGGTTAATCACTACTCCAGGAACCCCCAACACAACATCACCCCATTTGCTCATCTAGTCAAATGGTGTAAAATAATCATGGAGCAGAATCAGCAGAAAACTCCAGTAACATGAAAAACCAGAGTAGATCAACTCCCCCAAGGAAACATGGCAGACACAACAGAAAACCCCATTCACAAACAAATGGCTGAGATGTCAGAAAAAGAATTCAGAATTTGGATTGCAAATAAGATTAACAGAATGGAGGTAAAGTTGGAATTAGAAATTCAAGGAGCATTTCAAAAGTTGTCTAAAGAATTCAATAAATTCAAAGACAAAATCAGCAGAGATTGTGACACAGTGAGACACGAACTTGCAGCCCTCAAAGATCTGAAAAATCCCTCAGTAACAGAATGGACCAGGAAGAAGAAAGAATTTCTGACATGGAAAACAAAGCATTGAACGCTCACAAATGCTCAAAGAGGAAGAGAAATGGAGAGCAAGAATGGATCATTCTCTCAGAGAGCTCTAGGATAATTCAAAGAAAACTAATATTCGCCTTATAGAAATTCCTGAAGGCAACGAGGATGCTTTGAAAGACACAGATGCTCTACTTCATGAGATAATGAAGGAGAACTTCCCAGACATGCCAAGAAATTCTGAAATCCAGAATTTCTAGACACATTATAATTAATTTTGCCAAAGTTAATATAAAGGACAAAATATTAAAAGCAGCCAGATGTAAGAAAACCATAACCTACAAGGGGAAGAATATTAGAAAGAATGTACATCTCTCTGCTGAAATCTGTCAAGCTATAAGAAGGTGATCATCAACTCCTAAAACAAAATAACTTTGAAACCAGGATCCTTTATCCAGCTAAAGAGAGTTTCATTTATGATGGAGAAACTAAATGCTTTAATGACATTCATATGTTGAATAAATTTGCCATAACTAAACCAGCTCTGCAGGATATTCTCCGACCTATCCTCAATAATGACAAGCGCAATCTTCCACCACAAAAGTAAACTCACTCAGAAACTTTTGATCAAATTCCAACTTCCACAGTAGCAAAAGGATTAAAAATGTCCACTGGACTTTTGAAAAACTTGATACCCAA